ACATAATAACTATGAAAGGTTGTGATCAAAACATGATTCGAAACAATACACACATATTCAACATGACAATTGAATGTATTTCAACTTTCAAATAAATCATGTATGCTATGACAATATATTTGACAATTGGTTTGTTTTTCAAAATAATCAGAAAGAAAAAAATGAACACTTTTATACGAAAATTGCAACTTCTGTAAAAGAAAAAAAAAGGAAATCTATTTTTGAAAAATTCTAATCAAATTCATTCGATAGAAGAAAATAAAAGTACGACATTTTTCTTAACGAATAGCATTCAATAATCATAGATTTCATGAATAAGTTTGTTAATTTTACTTAAAGAATAAAAGTGTCAAGGGTAAAAGTTTAAGACGAATATGCGTTATGAGTGTGCATCTAAGAGACAAGAAAATTCAAATAAGCAATGTAATTCCATGTTCTCTTTTCATTTTAACATGTGACACATATGCAGACAAAACAGACCATTGTTTGCTAATCGATTTTTGCAACTAACCTTACTGTAGCGTGTGATTAGTCTAAATTTATCTTTTGCGCTTTTTTGACGTTAGTTTTTCTTCTTTTGTTTGTGTTTATGGATAAGGTTGCGAAAAGGTAGACGCCTACAAATAAAAGAAATAATCAATCGTTTTATCTAAGTATTGTAATTTGATTGGTGTGAATAAACCATTGCTATTGTCGATAGCAGATAGCTGTGAAAAAAACACGTTGACTCGATGTCTTTTGATTTTTGTGAGAGTCATTATGCAAAACTATTGAAATAAGTTTTTGTGATATACAATCTAGAATAGTTGTTGAAAACCTATGAGAAAAAAAATTCTAATTCTCTTTCAATAAAATATTTTCATAATAGAAAATAGTTCTGTCAGGCATCTTTACTATGCCTTTTGGTTTGTTCTTTTTATCTGTTTAATTTTACATGAAAAAACGAATTAAACAAATATTGATATAATACAATAACAATTTTATTATTATATATTATAGTTTACGTAAGTGTATTTATTTAATTCAGATAAATATAATATGCCCACTGTTAACGGTACTTCTATACAATTGATTAATGACACTCCAGTTGATTCTCCATCACTTAATGATCAAAGTGATTCACCGAACACACTCGCATTACGTTCTATAAAGAGAGTTACTATTGATCCAAATGTTTCCAACGACAAAGAAATTCAGCCAGAAAATGTTAAGCAATATAAGAGTGTCGGAAATATATCATTCGCTAAGATCAGTCTTCGACTAACCAAGCGAAAAATCTTACTTAAACAAATGTATGAAATATATCTGTTTGTTGTTTTATTATTTCCTTTTATATTCTAGTTGTATCGTGACTGATATCATGTGTGTTCTTGGTATTTTAGGAATTATTCTTATGATTATTGAAAATGAACTAACATTTTCTCAAATCGATAATAATGATACCATATCGAGTTGGTCTATCAAAATAGTTATTAGTTTGTCAACGGTTGTTCTCATTGGATTTGTCGTCCAATATCATCACTTAGATTTATCTCTCTATGCTGTTAATAATTCAATTGAAGATTATAGTGTTGCGATAACGTATCAAAAAATACTTTTAATTGTACTTGAAATATTAGTTTGTGCTGTACATCCAATGCCTCGTTCTTTTCCTTGTCATTCAAATCCATCAGTAGAGAATATAAGCTCAAATTCATCCACATTTAATCGCTATCCTTTGTCTTATATATCTGTTGATGTTGCACTTGGTTTCCCAAGTAAGTATCAATATTTTGTTTTTCTTCATCAAATTTAAAACTAACTAGTTTCATAGTGTTTGCTCGTGTTTATTTACTGTGTCGTTTTATTATGTTTCATTCACATGTATTTCATGATATATCGTCACGATCCGTTGGTTATCTTAATAAAATATCAATTGATTATTTATTTCTCATTAAAGACGTAGGTGAAGTTAGCGTCCGATTCGAGTAAATCTGCCGCCGATTCGCTCAGGAACATGCTCCAAGTGCTCCAATCGGGTTCCAAATACAACTCGATGTGCTCTATCAAATGGTATATTCGGATTTTACGTAGCTCAAACTATGTGTTCGCAAACCTCACAATACTGGTCCAAAAGTATTAGCAATGGCCCATCAGCATAGTAATTCCACCACCGATTCGCCCAGGAACATGTTAGAAGTGCTCCAATCGGGTTCCAAGTACAACTCGATGAGCTCTATCAAATGGTGTATTCAGACATTCCATAGCTCAAACTGAGTTCCCAGAAATCCCTGAATACTGGTCCAAAATGTCAAACCGGCAAGTAATTCTTCCGCCGATTCGTTCAGGAACATATTCCAAGTGTTCCAATTGAGTTCCAAGTGGGTACTTCCACGCAGGTCCGCCCACTTTTACATCGACTTTCTGCC